AGTACCTAATATTTACTTTACAAAAAAATGGATTTCATTCCGAACACTTTTCTTTGAAACTCGGACATCCTGGTCACTGGTTTCAGTTATCTACGTTAAGTGTGTGTATGCTTGAACTACAGGAACACGAGTCAGTTGTTCATAGATGTACAGCGGTGCTGACATGCGACACGTGACACAGTACACACGTGACACAGTATGAAACATATGTGGCCTTCGGATTAATACCTCATTTGTGTTTATCATTTGATAATTGAAGTGTAAGCGATAATTAGTTGCTAGGCTACACAGCACATGACACATCAGGTCATATACCAATATTTTATATTGCCAACAAAACAGTGGAATTCACTTGAATCTGTTTGTTCCGCATAAATGGCAACCTTCTATATAATATATAGACTATTGTCCCCGCTGACAAAAGCTTTGTTTGTTTAGGAGTCGTTTTATTAATCAGTCATTTATGAGTCGTGAATTTCACGACATATAGAGACATATTTCCACAAGAAATAAATTGAGGGATTGCCAGGTTGCATTGGATACCCATAAACTTCATAATACACCATACAATGTCTTGATTTTTACTCTGAGAGATAGCTTTCTATTAAGGTGTATGATAAAGAAATAAATTGAGGGATTGCCAGGTTGCATTGGATACCCATAAACTCCATATTACACCATACAATGTCTTGATTTTTACTCTCGACTGAGGGATAGCCTTCTATTAAGTGTATGATAAAGAAATAAACATCGTTACTGGCATGAATTATTTACAGCTTTACACTAATCTCCAACTTTACCTTTGTGGTATATTCTAGCCCATTCATTGTGCTCGGGCCTGTAGTACATACGTAATATTTTGTAAAAAGACATTGGGTTTTATAATTAACGACTTCGAAAGTTGTTTTCAGACAAGGCATGAGGATAAATAACACTGTAACAAAATTGTTCCAAAGTTCATCGTGTAGGCATTTATTACGTGAACTGTTTGTGGTAGATACATGACCTTTTATATTTGTGTTCACTGCAATAAAAATACGCAAAATATTACCATCAATGTGAGGTGTAAGATAAAATATGTTTGTAACCGTCTTCTAACTTTTTCTCAGCCTTGTGAGTTTAGTTGTATACTAGATATAAAAGTAGCATTCGCATCATTTAGTACGCCATACTAAATAATCTCCTGATATTTTGAAACAAAAAATGAATGAATGTAGGCACGAGGAAACATACACAAACAATATAATATACATGTTTAACGGACATTACATATCCATTTACGATTAATTTATACTTACATTGTTTTGTGTATTAGAACATATAACGATAGATAAAACACCAACTCGACTAAAGCACCATATGATATGTGCTCAAGTTAAAATCCTAGTTACAAATACAAATACCCATAATGTATTTATTTTACATTAAATTGTACTCCCACTCAATACAAGCATATTCACTTTAACAACGTTGGGGTTACGGTTCGATTGATCAGTGATAGAATTTGATAGATATATCAGTAAACCTTAATCTGGTACTTGTTTATATGCAAATGGAGCTGAGATCTCGTTGAGAGCGAGAAAGCTACGAGACTTGACATTCAAATAGTGTTCCATTTTTTTTCTTCATTGCGTGAAAATAAAGCACAAGGAAAGGTACATTTAGGGTAATAAAAAATAAACTACTATATAATTCTATTAGCAATTAAAAAATAAAAATCCAGATTCTAAATACTTTGGAAGTTTTTACTTATAGTTCAGTAAACTACAAGTAATGCAGAGCCGTGAACAAGGACGGCTGACAAGAGAGGTCGAGAGGGTGTCGATTATTCGGTTCCCGAGTATGGCAGAATGTTCGATAATTGGTGCAGTTTCTGTGTTGTTAATTGGATTAACAAGTTCCCTACGTGGCCTGTCACATTAATTACATTACCGTACCTTAATAGATATATTTATACATTTATACATTTATACATTTCTTGTGTGGATTCATTTTAACCATCTGCGTTCCACAACAGTTAAACACTTGTAAATTATTATTATTATTATTATTATTATTATTATTATTATTATTATTATTATTATTATTATTATTATTATTATTATTATTATTATCTTATATACATATTTTTGTTTTTTTCTGGTGAAAATAAATTTATACCTTTAATTTAAACCTATGTTTATTATATTATTTATCAATAATGATAATGTAAGTTTCGCGGTGTTTCTCCCTTTCGCTGATGTCCGACTGCGGTAGGTGTTACAATATACCTTACATTGTCATGGCGAGCCATGCGTATTTGGGAAGACATTTTGTGGGTTATCATAATTATTAAATGCATATTTATATCAATTCGTGTGTTCCTTGGTAAATAAGTCTGACTAGTGCGTATTGTAAGAGGTGTATGTCATATAAAAGAACCTATTCAGAGTGCGAGGCTTTATTTAGACTCATCGGTGTAGCTGACGGTAACAGTTTATATATGGCCTCTGTGACAGTTGTACGACTGTATATTCAATGGAATCCCAGGTGGCCACATAGCTGAGATGAAGCTGCAATAGGCGTTGTCATGCTAATGATAGGAATTTGTTTAGCCTGTCCAGTGTAGTTAGCAGCACACTTCGATTTGGAACTTGAAGTAGTAATAAGTCAGGTTTCCCTGCTGACTCTGTTAGAGGAAATTCCGCAGCATAACTTGTCCAGGTAGTGACTGTATCCATGGGTTGGTGTGTTGCGCTCTCGTGCTTTCTGAACTATTTTCTGTTATTCGGATGGAAGTAAGTTCAGTACTTCCAAGAAGCGGTATTGTGCCAATTTGACACAGGCTGCGTGGCTGAGTACTGGGTGTGGCCGGCGTGGTGGTTTTGCTTGAAATAACTCTAGGCGGGGTTCAGCAGAACCTGCCACTGGCTGAGTTGTTGCTGAGCGTGAAGTGTGTGAAACAATTCTCGTATAAGTAATTTTTTTGTGCATACATTTTGTGTAAATGTAGTTGCACGTCTTAAGGTTGTCAAATACGACCCTTGTGTCTGTCAACCATCCAGTGTAAATAAATGTATTACTACGCCACGTGTTTTGTAAATCTTAAAGTCTTGTAACTAATTGAAATTGAGATGCAGCATGTAGAACATTTTATAAATTATTTCTGTAACCCGTTAAA